ATGATGATGACTCGGATGATGATGATGATGATGATGATGTTCATGATGATGACTCGGATGATGATGATGATGATGATGATGTTCATGATGATGACTCGGATGATGATGATGATGATGATGATGTTCATGATGATGACTCGGATGATGATGATGATGATGATGATGACTCGGATGATGACTCGGATGATGATGATGATAATGATGATGATGATGATAAAATAATGCAAAATAAGAAAAGGTGTTATTTTACAATGTGCATCTGAAAAGAAAAAGCAAATTCACACATCCGTGTAGAACAATAAATACTGTAAATGACAGCGAGTCAGGTAGGGGAAATATTTGTGAATTATCTATCAAACCATGAAACGGTCTACCGTTATCTATTGGACCCTAGATATGGTTAACACATTCACCACAGTTTCTGAGCAGACTGGGAACCGGTCATGTAGTTTCATTTCCAAAGTGGGATATGTACCGTTATCTTCGTGCAATTTGGCTTCAAGGAGGAATTGATGATGGACTTTTAGGGAGCATCATATGAAAGGACACATTCCCATCATTATGCTGCTTTTTTACCGTGCGAAGGTCACATGTAATGCAACAGGAGGAAAAGTCAATTGCTTTGTTTAGCTACAAGTCAGGTTTAGGCGCGTGGCAATTATCAACGGATTAGTTCACAAATCAGCTGCCAGACTCATTCTACAAAACTGCGTTCACCAAATGATGGCTATCCACCAAGGGGAACTTTGTTACTATTTGCGACCTAGAGGTCCACCCGGCAACATACAGCTCCACGAGTTCTGTTCTTGTAGACCCCTTCGACCTATTTCAAACGACGGAAGCTAACCTATCCGGAGGTCATTAGGTCAATTCCCGTCACTGCCGCCACCGCTCATCGTTCCACATTCTATAATTCCCCAGACAGCCCTTGATTGGTCCTATTCAGCGGGAATGTGACGGCAGTTCTAATCGAATCGTAGAGTAATGAACTAGTGTCCCCTAATAAAGGAATTAGTCAACAAAAGTAGGACATTTCAATTTGCCAAATCACACACAAATATATCATGGATGTTTGAATGTGCACCTCAGAATGACGCCACAGATGGTTCAACTTGTCGAAACTGAAATCCCTATCTCCATCATGTCATTTGAAGCGATCGTGAACCAAAATCTGACCTTTGAATGACGACGCTGTCACCTGGTTTCAAATGAAATGCGATTTCCACAGTATCGTTGATCTATTAGTTTACAAGCCCGTAAAAAGGTGTTTACAAAACGCAATACGATCCTGGAGTGACTTCCTGAATGATAAACAGACATGGTTTAAATGGATTAATAATATTATCACCGTGAGTTTGGGCGTTTATCGGGTACACTGCAATCAATAGATAAATACGGTCAGTTACTAGCCAAAATGTATGGAATCCACATAAGAAAAACCTAATGTGTTCAGTTGAACTGCTCAGACAATGAAAACTGGTGATTTTTAGATTCGATTTGCAGTTTTTCCTATTTAATCGTCGTACTATTGTGGCTATTGTTACCCCTCGTCTGACATTAGTTTTCGGTTAACCAACTCGTCGATAGATGAATTGCATTAATACACTTCACTGTCTCGCTCTCTCGCTTTGAAACGAAAAGTTTGTTCAACCAATCAAGGACAAACTTGACTAACGTGCATTTTGGTTGTATAGTGGTATAACAAGGAATTTATCTCCGGGACTAACCCAGTACAGACTGGCCAGTAACATGTTAACTAGGCTAGATAGGCTTAATCATTGGGTGAACTATTCCAACGGGAAAACGAATAATTTCACTAATATACAAAGGCTGTGGTCGTAGTAACTTGGCTAACTACGACCCCGTCAAGCTTCTTCCGTATCACCCAAAGTCATGAAATTCATTGTTGCAGACTATGTGATGCTTCACTTGCAAAATTACGTATTAACCCCGTTGCCATATCGGTTTCATCGCAGTCGATTGTGTAACACTAACCTGCTTCCGGCCTGAGGGGACAAAAATAGCTGATGACACACATAGTGTTCCTTGACTTATCCAAGGCGTTTGACGGAGTAAACCACAAAATAATGCTGAGCAAACTACACAGCTATGGAATTGGAGGACTTATACTGGGTTTGACAGAAGAATTTCTTCGACAACGCACCATTGCAGTTCGGATTTCTGGATCACTGTCTGATCCTATCAACGTAGCACAAAGAATTCTACAGGGACGCGCGTGTGTTACTAAAATTTCGTTAGTTTTCATAAACAATTTAACGAATGTTCCGGGGCCACAAAGGTTAATGTTTTCAAACGATGCAAAATTATGGAATACAGTGATAAAATCTAAGGAATCACTCGCACTTCAGAAAACTTTAGTGCTGATTATCAATGGTCGATCGAAATTTAGATCGAATTTAATGCAGCAAAATGTACGATCGTATCCCTTCACCACAAAACTCGGTTCCCGTATATAGTATCCTACAACTGACGGATTAATTTTCATACATGCCTGTGACCAAATTGATTGATTGATCGATTGGTTGATCGATCGACTGATTTTTTCAATGTCGGCTCGACGCCATTCGCATGTAGTGCGACGTGTGAGCCGGTGTCCGCCTGGCTGCCTTCCTACACATTGTTCGTTTCTGCTTGTTCCCGGGTTTGTGAACCCGCTACATTTTTGCTGTTTACAATAAACTTACTGCTTCATTCGTTATGTGCTCATTTACCTACTTAATTTCGAACACAACACCGTACTTTCTAAGATATCAATAACTTCCGTATGTCGCGAATGAGTAGAATATCGGTGTCATCGATCGAGATGACCTAGGTTGTTTATACACTGCTGTCGGGCATCTTCCGCTGCTGCGAGGCATTTTGGTTTGCTAAAGCGAGTATCTGGCAAATTGGAACCTATGCTGTTCCCACGTTTGTTACCAACCTACATTCGACCTCACACGCAGTACATCATTTAGGTTTGGATTCCATGACTGCAACACGATCGTAAGATTTTGGAACGTGCACAAAGAATGACCATCAAGTTATTCCGGGGACTGTTTTTCAAGTCCTTTTTGGAAAGACTGGAATCGTTAGGTTTGTACGCCATCCAGTATCACCGAATTCGAGGACACTTTATTTTGATGTTTCAGATAATGCCGAACCCTGACCATCCATATTATTTATCGTTCACCTCGTGACTCAACATTTATTTCAGGAGGCTTTCGTTCAAATTAGTGCTCCAAAACTGTCGACTAGAATGCCGATGTCATTCACTTGACCTCAGAGTGAGTAGTATTTGGAATTCTATAGCACCTCATGTTGTTGTTTCACACACTTAATTGGTTGGTTCACGCGTAAACTGAATGAAATATTGTCATCCAGAACAGTACACAAAACAATGAAAATTTGTGACAATACTCATCTCTCTGTATGATTCGTAAATCGATCGAGTTTGAGGAAAACTATGTGACAAGAAAAGCAACCCCTTGTAAGTATTTTCCATAAGCAAACTTTATCTTTGACTTTACGTAAGATGGAGAATTCAGACAGATTCAGGGCCAAGTCAAATAGTTATTTTTTGACAGGTTTCTCCCACATTTTCTCTCTCTCACACACACACCTCGTTGAGGCGTACCACCGCAAATGTCATGGCAATCTTTGCAATGAC